AGTCCTCCATTTATTGTATCAAAATCATAGTGGAAGGACTAAAAGTGTCAATTTGATAATACTTAGAGGACTAAATGTTGGAAACTTTGAAGTCAAGGACTAAAAATGTCTCTAGCATAATAGTCGATGACTAGAATTGAAAAAATTAATTAAAAGTCAAGTACCAAAAGTGTCAATGACACAATAGTCGGTGACCAAAAATGGAAAAAACTCTTGAATCAACAATAGAATTGAGATGAAAAGAATTAATTACCATTAATTAAAAAGATGAAACTTACAAATAATCCCAGGGTCTTGAATAACTAAATGGAAATCTACTCACAATTTTGTCCTATGCCTCTCCATAAGCTCCCTTACCACAAACAGGGGTTTACGGACTGTTTAAATAAAAAATGGAGGAATTCGGACCGAAAAAAGATTTCTGGGGGCAGGCACGGCGTGCCTAGAGTCCGTGTCCCCGGAGCACAAAACGCTGAAAAAATGCCAGGCACACCGTGCCTTCCTAGTCCAGTAGCCTCAACGTGATTTTCTTTTTTCGCGCACGACATGCGTACTTCGGGCGCACGACGTGCGACTTTCCTCTCTGAGTTTGATTTTTCTGAATTTACCAAAGTTGTAGATAATGAAGTCTTCTATCCACCATAACTTGAAAAACAGGATTTGGATCATCCAATCAAATGATATGAATAAAATGGTGGAATGCCGCATCCTGAAATCTCAACAACAATTATCTGACTCCCTCGTTTGTTTTGACCTTACTCCTCTCAGATTATCATCATTGTGTCTTCATATGAATTGTAGAGCTTGAAGTTAGCTTTCATATGGAACTTGAATCCTGTACTTTGGATGTTTCTACAAAAAAATATGATTGAGCGATTGACGAACGTCATCCTGATAGTCGTTTTCAGACTCTATTCGTCTTCTTTTGATCCCATAGCCAATCCTAAAGCTCTTTTGTTTTCAAAACTTTGTCTTTCACACCTCATTGACCTTTAACTCTCTTAATAAACTCTCTATTGTGACTCAAATCTCTCGATTTCTTCTCAAACGTCAGTATCAGACTTAATTCCCTGATTTTGACTCTAAAAATACCAAACATACATCAAAACCCGTTAAATCATGACTTGAGCTAATTGTGAACCTTGTGACACATTTAAGCTAGGAAAACTATCAAAAATCGATCTCAACATACATCAAATGCGTGTTGAAAGACGGACTTATCATGGATTTATGCGAATTTGAAATGATGTAGTACATGCATGAACGAAGTAGCTAGTACATTATAGTGCATGGATTGATGTTCGAGGCCAATTTTTTTTTTGTATTCATGTGTTACATTTGAATGCTCAATGTAGAGTTTCAATGATCAATGAAAATGTAGATTTTATTTAATATTTATTTTCTTGTTTGTTTTTATTTTTCTACATTTTTATTATAAATAAAATTATGTTATTACTTTTATGTTTTAATTATTAATGAATTGTGAATTGCACTGAATTGTGGTTAAGATGGATCATTGCTGTAGCAGTGACGTCTTGCCGCCTTGCCTTCTCAATGTTCATTGCCTCAGTGCTGCTGGAGTCAATTTTCCATGGTTTCCGGTGTTAAATACCGTTGTGGGTGGCATTATGCATGTTAACTCTCGAATTCCATCATGTGCTCGTCCTCGTTTGAATGCGAGGATGTGTGTGAGATGGACGCCAAACGCCTATTTGTGCTCGGTGCAACCTTTGGTTGCGATCTGGACATACGAGTAGTTGTACATGGCTCTTGGATTCGGTAGAGCACGGGGCATCGGAATTCATCTTCTTTTTTCCCCATGTGCTAAAGTGGCATGCTAGTCCTACACATGACTGCTTTGTTGCATTGAGTGCTTTTGTCACTCATGCTCAGGGCATCATTTAGGAATGTTACCTGGTTGATCCTGCCAGTAGTCATATGCTTGTCTCAAAGATTAAGCCATGCATGTGTAAGTATGAACTAATTTAGACTGTGAAACTGCGAATGGCTCATTAAATCAGTTATAGTTCGGGTGGGAAAACCCGATCCGAAACCCGGAAACCGACCCTGGCCCGGCCCGAATTATGATATCGGTCCGGGTTTTTTCTTTTTGACCGGCCCGAATAAAAAAAAACCGAACCGAACCCGAAATTTCGGGTTCTTTAACGGGCCCTAAAATCTATAACCTGGCCCGGACCGATAAAACCCAAAACAATTAGCCTTAATATAAAATCAATATAATATACCAATATAATTTATAAATTAATTCCTAATATATGATTTAATCATGATGGACGAAAAAATGACTTAATAACTTTTAGTGACAATAAATATGTTCAATTTATTTACGGTAATGAGCATGAAAACATATTTATAGTATCTTTAGTCACATTTTTATCCATAAATTTTATTTCATACGGAGTAACATTTTTAGAACACCTATATTACTTATTTTTATGCATCTTAAACAAAATATTATGATAATTATCTTCTTTGGATTTGAATTCTTGGTGATTTTGGAGACTAATATTTATGATTTTTATTAATTTTATTTGCGATTTGTACTTTTTATTGATTTTATTTGAAAATAGATTTTAAAATATAAAAGAAAAATGAGTGATTTCACATTCGGGCTTTAACCAACCCAACCCGAACCCGGGTTACAAAAAACCCGACTCGGACCGAATATAGTCGGCTTTTTCGGTCGCTAATTTTCATAACCCGATGCCTTACGGGCAATTTCTGAGTTTAGCAAAAACCCGACCCGAACCGATCCCACCCCTAACCATTTGTGTAACAATGGAACATAAAGACTAATTTGGGGTGGACAGAAAAGGGAAAAGGTGATATTTAGTTGAGGTGGGAATGATTGTTGGGTTGGATAAGGTGAACATTTTTGGAGGTGAAGTGTTGAATATTGGGTGGGCCGTGGGTTCGAACCCCAGAAGAAATGTCAAGTATATGAGTTGTAAGCCTTAATAAGCCCCAAGTGGGATGGGTGGGTGACACATCAGAAAGCTGAGGTGGAGCCCCCATTGACGTGGTTTTGACTATTTACTACCACTATATTACATTCATCGAGCCTAACTTATCAGTGGTTGCTGGATATGAAAGTTATTTGAACAGTAGTAGGTTTCGTTGCTATATTTTTTTTCATAATGCACCTCACCACACACAGATATCATAACAATTAACATACATAAGTTTTAAACATGGTACATAAACGTGATTAAAGAAAGAGAAAATTCCTTATATAGGACTAAAACATGAACAAAGTGTAACATATCGGACTATCATTGTTTTCTTCCTAAACTATGACCTATTCACTCTTAATAGGGGAAGTTTTATACTTTTAATAGAATTAAATTAGTCCTATTTCAGTAATAAAATACATGTAGTCCTATTTGTGCATTTTGTCCAAGCTTTAATCCTATTTAAAGCAATTTCTATTAAAGAAACTATGTGTGAGCAGAGATTAAGTTGTTTTATCGTCAGTCAAGTATCGTAAACCGTAATTGGACGTAAAAAGTAATTGAACAAGCTGCTAGCTCCACGCTGAAAACATATTAAAAGTGTAGTGTTAGGTTGGTTAATGTATGCAGAATTTTAGGTCAATTTTGTTTTTGAGAGTATCTATTTTTCTGTATGTGATCTTTAAGACAGTACACGCGATATCTCATTTTGACATGAAAATCACTAAAGGAATCTTAATAGTACGTACAGTATTTCGTTATAATCCTATGCGTAATCTTAGTGGTATCTTTGATTGCTTGATGGGGTCTAATTAGTATCTCTAAGATCCAATACACATGTTCAAATAAGAGAATATATATTTCTTATTTGTGGAATTCTTTTTTAAGCTGTTCCTTTATTATTAAAAATAAAGGGTTTTAATTAAGATGCTTGCTATGGTACCCAACAAAAACAGGAAGGTATCATACCTAGGATGCATTTCGTTGGTCCAATTCAAAGTTTTATATTTTATTTGCATTTAAATTATTCAATTGAAATTTTTTTATTGATCCATACCATCAAGGTACCAATATACCTTCAAGGTACTATAGAAATTGCCTTTAATTAATGCATGTGGTACAAGAAACACACGCGATAATAACAACTCAAGAGCTACAAATAGCGACAGTAATTAATCAAAAAATACAGCGATAGTAATAATACATTCTGTATATATTGTTTACCACAATTAGCGGACCAAAAGTATGTGTCATTTAATATAATTGTGCTCAATAATTATAGTATCACATACGGAGTATATTTTGAAAAAGACATGCATGCATTTTCTACATGAAGGACCATTTATAAAAATTCTACTCCAATAATAAAATAGAGCGCACACAGTCAGACATATATGTCATGTATAGTAGCTAGGGCGCCTAGGTGGGTGCAATCTCATATTTACTCCCTTCTTCCCCCATTTAACCTTCATTTTTTAGTCAAACTTTTGACCATTAATCATTCAAAAATCGTATTAATTATTTTATAATACCAAAATAATTTTGAAAACAAGCTTCATTTTAATATATACTCCATATAAGTTTATTGAAATTTATTGAAATCGTATAAATTTTATAAGTGTATATTTTTGTATATTAATGGTCAAACGTTAATATTAAAGACAGTAAAATGTTGACCATAAACTTAATTAAGAGATAATAATGTTGACGTACTTGTGATGAACATTATTAATTTATTATATATACTCCGCATTTTGATTAAATTTGTAATTCATTTTGTTTTTCCTGACACTTTAAACATGAAAAAGATTCTTACACGCATGCATTGACCTCACTGATTAATAAAGCAGATACCGAACTTTAGGTTTCTATAATTTTGATTTAAAAGTAAAAGGGGAAAAAGAAGTCAAATAGAATGCTAGTTGGCCTAGCTAGCTAGCTCCCCCATTCAGATGGAATAGCTGTTACGCATTAATCTAATATAATGTCCCACTGCACATATATTCATTCTCATCACGTACCACTCTATATAAACGAACCCCTCATGTTGGGGAAGATCACACAACTTAATTATAAGATCGATCTGATTACTTAATTACAGTACTTACATACACACATATATACTTCACTTCTCTAGCTAGCTAGCCAGCCAGCCAATTGTAATTATTTTAATTTAAGCTAGCTAGCTACAATAACCATGAATCACTTGGCCTTTGCATTTGGCCTTCTAGGTACGCAATCTGTCATGCATTAAACCATTTTTTAAATCTTTTTCTTGTTGCTTAATTAATGCTCTTACCATACAATCATACATTGTAGTAGTATATTTCTAGCTCAATATTTAACCACAAAATAAACGAGAGTATTTTGATCTCAAGATGATGACGGACGGAATGAATTAGGTCTTAGGCTTAAACAGTTCCTTTTTATATCTAATACTAAAAATAGAATAAAATGAGAAAAGGCTAATATTTGCATTTTAGTCCTTGAGCTCTTGTTCTTTATTATATTGAACTCCCTGATAATATGTAAACCCTTGGTTGGATTGGTTTCCTAACATGAGACACATACACACAAATATAATATATACACGTATATATCTAAGAGAAACAGTAGCCATGCATCTAGTTTTGCCCTAAAACTATTCAGTAAAGTATGGTAGAGCATGCGTAGTACGTTAAACATTGTGCTTCGCTTCATTCTTCAATATATAATTCATTCATGTATTATTAGCTTAATTACTTCCATGCATGCTGCTTTTGGATTTGGTGGATTTTAATAAGCATATGTTTCCTGTATTGATATGGATGTGCTGCAGGCAACATTGTCTCATTCATGGTGTTCCTTGCACCAGTGTACGTAATTAATTAATTGCATGTTTACTTCGACTATTCCCTTATATATCCAACTAATTCAAAACTATATATAAATATATATATATATATACTAGTACCTTTTAATTAAATATTATTTCAAAATAAACTCCATTATTTCATTTTTCTCCCATCCCCATATAAATTTCATATTTCTGTTGAGCTTTTGGTACATATATAATTTCCGTTTTCTTAATTCGTGCCAAATCAAAGCAGGAGTGCAATATGGGACAGAAGGAAAAGTGGTTATTAATTAATATACATAATTATAACTTATAAGACAAGCTTGCATTATTATATTTATTCGATCATTTAGTTGGATCTAATATTGCATGCCTGCATGCGTGCGTGCAGTCCAACGTTTTACAGGATATACAAGAAGAAGACGGCGGAAGGGTACCAGTCGGTGCCGTACGTGGTTGGGCTGTTCAGCGCCATGCTTTGGATTTACTACGCTTTCCTCATGCCCGACACCACTCTCCTCATCACCATTAACTCCGTCGGCTGCTTCGGTCAAACTCTCTACATTTCCTTCTACCTCTTCTATGCCCCCAAAAAGGCTAGGGTACGTACGTACGTACGTAATTATATTATACTCCGATATGATCCTTCCTTCAATTCGTTCTACGATTACGTTACCATATAATTAATTGCAGCTCGACACGGTGAAACTTGTTAGTCTCCTGAACGTATGCGCATTCGGTCTAATTGTTCTGGTCACTCAATTTCTGGTGAAAGAGCCGTTAACCAGAGCCCATATTGTGGGGTGGATTTGCCTAATTTTCTCTCTCTGTGTCTTCGTCGCACCATTGGGTGTTGTGGTAAGTACTCATACGCACTTTAAGTCTACTTCTATATATACCAAACTTTTGAGAGAATTTTTCAAGTCAAAATGTTAAATTTTGATTCATTGTTTTATACTTTTATCATTCAGGAGTAGTATTTTTAAGAAAGATCATTTTTCATTCGTTTTCATATTATCAATATTACGGTGTATATATATACCCAGTATAATTGATGAAAGTTTAACATCTACTAGTATATATCTTTGGTTTGAAAAGTCAAATTTGACTAAGTAGGCCGGGCTAAAATGAATGTAATTTGTATAATTGTGGGATGCAGAGGCAAGTGATAAGGACAAAAAGCGTGGAGTATATGCCATTTCTGCTCTCCTTCTTCCTGACACTGAGCGCCGTGATGTGGTTCTTCTTTGGGTTACTTCGCAAGGACTATAATATTGCTGTAAGCTGCACTATCCGTAATTCCGTACATGCATAATTAATTAAACTGTTGTACTCATTATGTATACACACAATTTGCATGATTATTGGTGTTGGCTAATTAAAAAAGATTTATTATTATTATGGCAATTAATTAATTTGAGCATGGATATTGCTCACATATGCATGGATGCAGATTCCAAATGTACTGGGCTTCAGCTTCGGCGTGATCCAAATGGTGCTGTACATGGTCTACAAGAACGCCGGGAAGAAGCAAACTGCCACAGCCGCCGGCATGGAACAAAAGCAGCTGCCTGAGATGAGCAGCGGTGAGCAGTTGATGGTGGCCTTCGGGGCGGGGAAGCAGCTGCCGGCAGAGCTTCGGGAGCAGATAATAGATATTGTGAAGCTGGGCACTCTGATGGCGCTCTCTGAAAAGGCTCCGGCAGCTCCTCTACTCATGCCTCCACTTCCAGCTGCGGCGGCGGCGTTGCATGCATCTGTCTAGCTAGCTAGCTAGTTTAATTACGTTGTCACGTAATTAAACTAGTCTACTAGCTAGCTAGTAGACTAGTAATTAATTGTATCTTCCCAATTAAGTCATGCATGCATGCAAGCCATTAGCCATGCATGCTTCTTTCATGTCATTCCTTGAATTTGTCCTTCATTGTAATTCGCACTTCCATCTGTACTGTATTTTAATTTCATATCAATTTCAATTGCATCCTCTATTTTAACTCATCCGTTGCGATTTAGTACGTGTTTATTATGCTAATTATCTGATCTTAATGTGCATGTATGTCTTCTAAATTCAACACACATTCAATATTATCTAAAAATTAAAAGAGATCGAAAGAAAATCTCCCCCGTTACACATTCATGAAGTGGTGCAATTTAAATCATCAACATGACTACTAATATTCTTGTGATCGAAATAAACTACTAGATATAATAAGTTTGTTCTTGAATGATGTAACAAGTTATAACTTACACATGGTTATGGTGTGGATATATACTCTAATACGGAGTAGTTATTAAGGTGAATAGTCTTGCTTCGGAATCAATACAATTGATGAGAGTACTACTTTACTTCAACAAATTAAATGTATGTGCTACTCAGGGCCGGTTATGGGGGAAGGGGGGCAACCGCCCTAGGCCCGAAAAAATAGAAGAAAAAATAGGCCCAATTTTTAGTCTTTAAGGCTTTTTATTCATTTTAATTATAACATAAAACCTTTATATAATTATTTTAGAGTCTATCTCTCTCAAATCTCATCCCAATTATTATTTCTTTCCAAATTTCAATAAACTATATCAGAGTTTCTAATAGTAGTTTTAGAGGACGTCAAATTGGCCGTCTTCTTGCGTGAGTCATCTTGGCGACCAAACATTTTCTCTTTGAAAACCTTCATTTTTTCGAGACTTCAATCTTTAGAATCCCATCAACGGTCATTAAATCATTCTCAACTTATGAATTCAATATGTAGTACTACCTCCGTCCACAAAAAGTTCACCATATTGACTTTTCTTGGTTCATGATAAGAAATTTTGGACAATGATTTTAATTATTATATTTGTATATAATTTATACCGACCCCAAATTCTTTTGGGATTAAGGCTTGGATGTTGTTGTATTTGTATATAATTTATAAATTTTATACTCTTATGAAAATATATTGAATAAGGTACATTTTGATATAACTTTCATATTCAAAAAACTTTCGTACTTAAAAATATTATTAGTCATAGTTGATTGCCATTGACCAAGAAAATTCAATTTGGCGAACTTTTTTTGTGACGGAGAGAGTATTTTTTTCATTTATCCTTTCAAAAGAAAGTTTAGTGTTGTTATATGTGGTAATTTTATTATTTGTCATATTTATTAGTGGAAAGAAGATTGCCTATGAAGATGATTTACTTCACATTGTTCAATGAGAAACGTTCTTTAATTAGTAATGTTATTTTTCTTTTTATTTGATACTTTTGTCCAAATATGTAACTTAAATAATAATAAAGTGATTCTCACCTTTATTTTATGAACTTCATTGGATACTTCTATTATAATTCATATTTCAAATAAGTATATGGTTTACTGTTTGTCTTGGATATAAGCCCAGAATAACGTGTCGCCCATAGACCCTGAAATGAGCAGGACCGGCCCTGGTGCTACTATGTCATCATAGTCCTAATAGTACAATATAATAAATATATTATTGAAATAGTTATGTATGGAAGAGTTCATTTTTATCATTTTATGTAATTGTCATGCATATTTAAGTAAGAACAAAAGAAATTGCCCTAAACAGGATAAAAACATTATCAAAGTTTTTAAATAGGACTTAAAATTTATTATTCCATAAGGAGTCATTACATATTTTCCCTTTGATGGCACGCGCTGGGAAAATGAGAACATTGAGATGCATGATGAAGACAATTCAATATGAGGCTGGAGAGAGGTAGACATGTAGGTTAGTTTAATTAGGAAAGGTGACTGTAACCATTTACTCATATTTACTCTCTTTTTTGTCCAAGTTAAAACTAGGTCATATTTTTGTCTATGGAAAAGCCAAAAAGATTATTTGGGCAATTAATTTTTTCGAAAACAAATACTACCCCTCTATCCTTTAAAAATTTGTCAATTGAGAAATTGCCCAATATAGAAGTAAACATAAACATAATTGCACAAATAGGAGTAAAACTTAAAACATCCTTCAATAGGAGTAAACATTAATTTTGTATCCTTACTATCCCTAACCTAGTTAATTCTAAAATATGACTTATTTGATCCTATTAAAAAAATTCTAAGTTCATTCACTGAAAACGATGCCTTTATGCAGAACATTTAATTTTAAAAATAATCTAAGTTCATCCCAACAATATTAAAATATTAAAAATTTAAAAAGTTATTTTTGTAAAAATAAAAAACTATAAAAATAAATAAAAAATAGACAAATTGTATTAAAAAATATAAAAAAATTATGCAGGCCTTTCCCGCAGCCTCGGTCATCACCCAACAATATCACCTCCGATCGGTGAAAAAAATGCCATTTTATAAAAAACTGCCATTTTTCTTTGAAAATGCCATAAAGATGGCAGTTTTACTCTTTGAAAATGCCAAATTTTCTCAAAATCACCCATCTTGATGGCATTTCGGGAAAATGTTGGTATTTTTTTTTGTGGTCGGAGCTGGTGGTGTTGGGAGGTTGTTGAGGCGGCGGAAGACACCTCCATACTCTCTCTGTCCCGAAAAAGTTGGCCAAATTTCCTTTTTTGGATGTCCCAAATTAAAAAGATTTGTCATTTCCATTTAAAGTAAGAAATATGTGGCTAAAATTAATTCTCTCTCCTCTACACAAATTTCAACCACACAGTTTTTACTTTATTAATTCACGTGAAAGTCAACTTTGGCCAACCTTTTCGGGACGGAGGGAGTATTTTTTTAATATTTTTTTTTCAATTTTTTTATTTTTTTTTATTTTTTATTTTTTTATTTTAATTATTTTTTATTTTATTTAATACAGAGTATATTTTATTTGATGTTTTTTTTTGTTTTTTGTTTGTTTTCTTACAATTTTATTACGCAGTATAAATTAATTAATCTTGCGGAGTATATCTTTTACGTAGTATGTTTAATTTTAATTATTAATGAAGGTTGTTGGGGCTTGGATAAGGGTATACTTGTCCAAACACTAAAGTTACTCATATTCAAAACATGTTACTCCTATTTTTTCATTTTGCCTATGTTTTACTCCTATTTGGAAAATTCTCTCTTGTCATTTTCCTTTTTTGGGTCGTCTAAAAAAATTTGCAATTTTTCATTTTAATCAAGTAATTTGATGTTCTTATTTCTCTCTCCTCTGCACAAACATCAATCACATAATTTTTTCTTCAAACATGACAAAATTTTTACTTTATAATATAGTCTTATGTTTTTAGTATAGCAATAGTTGATTGCTCTAACGAATTGGATGACGTCAGCGTTAGAGTAACTTATATTCTCTGGGGATGTGTATCTCCAATTGCTTGAAATGTTTGTCCACAATATATACTTGTGCGATGCATTGAGCTCGGCTCGGTCCGAGTGTAGTGAACCCAAGAATGGAGATGCCTAGCGGCTTAGGCACAATGAGCATCACGTGGAGTTATCATCTTATTGATCTTGAATGCTGGATTGACTTTGACCTCAGCTTCCATTTGAGCATGCACATGGGCGCAGTTGCGGACCCAGAAAATCGGAGTCACGGGGTCCCTATCTTAATGTAACTTTAACCAATAAAAAATAAAAAATAAATGTAAGTATATTATAATAAAGTAGCATAACATTTAATTGAAAATTTAACTATGAAATGTTATGCTACTTTATTGAATCATAATGTAAAGTGTAAAGTTGGTGATTTTTAGAAAAGGCAAAAGAATGTAGTTGTGATCTTCTACAATAATAAGTCAAAAAGAGGAATATGAGTCTTCATCATTTGAGTCTTATATCTATAAATTTCTTCTTTCAGATCTCGGATTGATAGTTCATTTACCTTTCAAGTTTTGAATTGATAAAATTCCAAATATTAAAGTAGTACAGCGTTTCATAGTCTCTACTATGGCGCACCTCATCTTGAACATTATGATGCAAATCAACAATTTTTTTTCTCAAACCAGGATAAGCTTCTAAAGATTCAAAATAAACATGTTGATCATGTGTATTGTTAGCCAAATTAATTTCCTATTCACCGATTATTTTATTCAATTCTTCACTTAATTATGGAAAATCATAATAAAAATTTTAATAATTAATTGAATTATGTAAAGTGTAAAGTTGGGGATTTTTTAAAAAGGCAAAAGGATGTAGTTGTGATCTTCTACAATAATGACCCAAAAAAAGAGAATATGAGTGCACGGGATCCTTGCACCTCCAGGAAAAGGAAAGGTTTTTAAAGCCTTTCCTCCGTTGCTCTGCTCCATTCTTTGGGTCTCATACTTGTTTTTGTATTATATATACAGTTATAAGTAAATTTTAAATTAAATATATAAAATATATAGGTATGTTTTGGAAGTACGCGGGGTCCCGGGACCCCGTGGGACCCTTAGTGGGTCCGCCACTGCATGGGCGTCTTACACTTATACACGTGAACCATCGCAACTTTTCTATATACTCCCTCCTTCCCATCTTAGCTTATTTAGTCATATAATATTTCTAAGTTGTTCATGGCTATATATATACATGTAATATTGAAAATATGAAAATTATACGGAAATATTCTTTGTTAAAAACACTACTAGCTAGTCTAAAAAAACATAAATTTATTAAGTTTAACATAAATATACGAACTATTAGTTAAAACAATGGATCAAAGTTTATTAACTTTGACTGCAAAAGTAAAGATGACTTAATAAAAAGAGACACGTGTATTATATAAAGATGTACTTCATCCGTCCTTTAAAACTTTGTCAACTTTTTAAGTAAAGAATTAATGGTTTCTGTTAATTCTCTATTCTACACAAACCTCAACCACACAATTTTTACTTTATTAATTCTCGTGTCGATCAAATTTGACAAAATTTTAAGGGACAAAGTCATGCATTTTTTGAATTGGCTAGATTATACTCCGTATATATACATATTCCTTCAAGAATATATACCTGACATGAATTACATGATCTGTAGACTGGATTTACTGTGCAAGGGCAAGAGGTACACCAAAAGTTGCACTCTCAAGGGTCTTCGCCTTAAGAGCGCTGCAGTGGTGGAGCCTACAAATCAACTTGTAGTTTTT